GCTAACCTCTCAGAAAAGATCTGGTCTATTTTTATATATCTTTATAAAATCAATATGTACAAAGTTTTCCAATGTCCTCTCAGTTCTTGTGATAGTGGGGAGTTGGCATGGACGAGACATAAGCTGTTTAGAAACCATCAGCTGTTTAACTACATGTCATGTTTTTCCTATTGCTTTGAATACACTTTGAGAAAAAAATTGCTCAGTTGTTACTGGGATCTCATTCCCAGCTCTGCTTATATCTCTAGTTTTTGTGATCTTTTGTTGAATGAATTCAGATGAGACAGAGTGTAGGTTAGAAACAGGCAATGTTGAGTACAAAATAAAATGGAGAGTTTTTAAGGGTGTGAGATGCAATGAACAGAGGAGCCATCACAGTGAACACTCTTACCATGTGAGGACATTCACTAAATCACAGTCAGCCTATCAATGCCCACTCTCCTAAAGAACGCATGTGTAGGTCAGAGGACAACTTCCAAGAGTCAGTTTCCTCGTGGAACAGTGGGGTCCTGGTTTCAAGTTTCTAGGGCAGTCTTTAGGCCTAAATAAAGCCTTTAGGCCAGTGAGTCTTATTGTTCCAAATGTTGTGACCCTTTTATATAATTGCTCATGTTGTGGTGATACCTCAACTATAAAATTATTTCATTTCTACTTCATAACTGTAATTTTGCTACTGTTATGAATATTAATGTAAATATATGATATGCAGGACATCTGATATTTACATCAAAGCGGTTGGGAAACATAGGTTGAGAAATACTGATTTTAGGCTGAGCCATCTTGGCCTCCCTGAAGGAACGAAATTTCCATAGAACACTTCCATTTAGTTGCATTTTGATATTGTCAAAAGGACAGAGTGCATAATTCTTAGAATCCTTGCAGAAATACACCCAGCAGATCTTGTCCAGGGGGAATGTGTCGATTATAGGAAAGGTTGTTCAACAAGCTCCCAAGAGCTGTTATCAGATAAGTGTGACTCCCAGAAGCATATAGATTAAAAATGAAACTACAGAATGAATCGTTTTGCTCTTAGATAGATGCCAAACGCACTGAGGACAAGCAGGTATTTGTTTTCCACTCATGAGAAGTGTTGGCCACTATCTGTGAAATTGTGGGTGTTACCACATTAAAGGCTACACTGCCATAGAGAAGAGTTTGGCAGTAGGCTATACTTGTCTCATTTCTTTTCAAAAGTTCCCTCATTTTACAGAATTAATATTATACGTTACTTATTCCAACTCTTAAACATTATTAGTCCCACATAAAGTCACTGTAAATATTGTTGAAATAGTTTGCATGTTTTTTTAAAAAATCAAATCTTTAAGTTTAGTGTGTGTTATACATTTATTGCATCTCTAAATCCAGACCAGGCACATACCAAGTACCCAAAATCTACGAGTGACCAGAAGCCACCAGCTTAGGTGGCTTAGGTGGTGGTCTGACTCAGTTTATGCCTACACTTTATTTATGCAGATTACAGTTATGGCGAAAAAGTTCTATAGATGTCTCATGAAGCACTACACTTTCTCGTGTATCTCAGTGCACAAGCTATTTTTCATAACTTTAAGTCTATGGTTTACATGCAATCATATATAATTTTTTGAGGTAGGATCTTTCTCTGTACCTTCTGGCTGTCCTGGAAATCACTGTGGAGACCAGGCTGGCTTTGAACTCACAGAGATCCACCTGCCTCTGCCTTCCTAGTACTGAGATTAAAGGCATGTGTCATAACCCTAAGCCCCAAATCATATTTGTATTATACTTAGTTTTTCTTTGCAAATTTTATAGATAAGGAGTTCCCTTACTTTTTAAAGTCACCACTCTATTCTTATTCTGAATTGCTTGCAGCGTCCCTAACAACCTCCTTATTCAGAACTGCTTGATCTTATCTTACTGTGGGAAAGAGAAACGCCAACTGCAGAAGCTACTGACATTCGGGTTCAGAGATCTGGACACTTAGATCTCAGGACAGGCTACTCCTCAGGGGAGGGCTGCCGTAACAGATGCTATCTTTGACCAAGGTCCAACCCCAGTCCTTAGGCATTACTTGGACAGTGAGAAAATGAGTTCTTCGTGGAGTACCCAAAGGTGGGAATGTAAACAGTTCTCTTGAAAAAGGATTCGGCTGTTTTCATTTTCTGTGTCTGAGTATCTTGTCGGCGTACTTATGCATATATGTATATATACATATGCGCTACACGTATATCTTCTGTCCTCGGAGACCAGACAAGGGTACCTGATCCCAGAGATTTGCCTCCTAGATGAGTCTAAATCCCACCAAGTTGATAGTTTATTTCACTGAATATAGAAAACAGGTGGGTTTAATTTTGGAAGGATTTCTTAAATTCAACTCCTAAAATACCGCTGCTCTCACGGCTTGCTGTGGTATGACCTGTGACTGACTTCTACCTTTAAATGCTACAAAAGCAACGTGCATTCTTTGAAAATCAGGCTTCAAATTTTGAATTTTGGCTCTTTCTTCGGCCAAAACCACACAATCGTATTACTGAAGATTCGCTTCAGTCCTTGAGTGAGGAGGCCTAAGTTTAGGAAACTTCCTGTCAGCACTTCCCCAAAGAATGAAGCAGCAAAAAGGAAGGAATAGAAGATTGCATTAAGGTGGAAGAACAGAAGATTGCAAGACAGGCCTTGAAAGCCCACGGTGAATACAGCAGTACATGAGCCCGGTGCCTGAAATCTTTTGTTGTTGTGGTAGTCGTTGTTTGTTTGTTTCTGGGGTTTTTACTGAGGTGAGCATGGAAACTCCTCTGCTCAGGAGCACGTGAGTCTTGCATGTGAAAGCTGACCTTCACTTCCGCGGGCCAGTTACCCACTTTCCATTGCCTTAGTTTGACCCATACATCAGTTAAAGGCTATTTTGTGTAGCCGACCACATTTCCTACTCCAAGCACCCACATAGCTTTTGTTTGATGGAGGCCTGGGATGGCTCAGTTAATTGTATTTACTGCTATTAGTTTAAAAGTCAGCTTTGTGGGCAGTTCAGGACCCCAAGCTACTCTTCTGTTTCATGTTGAGCAAATCTGCTTGAGAATTGCCTGACTTTTAACATCTGAACGTTTTAAGCTGCATCTTTAAGAAGTGCTTGGCCTGGATCGTCCTCTCTCTCTCTCTCTCTCTCTTTTAATCTTATTTTAATTTTTATTATACTTTTATTATATATAAAATACATATATATATATGTATACATACACCAGTACACACTATATATTTTTTTATTTTTTTTACTTCAATGCATATACACATATTATTCTAATACACACACAAACATTATTCTATGACTTCAATTACTGTGTTTTTATATGATTCGTGATGGTACATTCGGATGGGTCTATGTGTCTATTATCTCTTGTGATTTTTGTTTGGCTTTTTTTTACTATTTGTTTTCTTCTATTCTTTCTCTCATAGCCACCATTTGCCTTATCTCTGCTGATTACACCAATCACATTGATTTAGCCGTATCCTACTGTCATCTTTCCATGTTCTGATTATATATTTTATCATGAGTATTCATTCATGTTTTATTTATTTATTCATCGGTATTCACCTAGCAGATGACTTTAACAACCTTTGTCATTATTGAATTTGATTTCATTTACATTTCTTCAAACTATTCCATAAGATAGAAACAGAAGGAACACTACCAAACTCATTCTATGAAGCCACAGTCACCTTGGTACATATTTTATTTTAAAATGGACTAAGCTAGTTGTATGTTAAATGATCAAACACATATATCTTTAAAAGAAAAATGAAAGTTGACATAGAAAAGAGTTTAGTCTTTGATCCAATGATCCACTTGGACTTTAGTTTTGTGCAGGGTGATAAATATGGATCTATTTTCATTTTTCTCCATATAGACATCCAGTTTGACCAGCACCATTTGTTGAAGATGCTGTCTTTTTTTCCATTGAATGGTTTTAGCTTATTTGTCAAAAATTAAGTATCCATATGCGTGTGGGTTTATTTCTGGGTCTTCTATGCGGTTCCATTGATCCTCCTTTCTATTTCTATGCCATTACCATGCAGTTTTATTACTATTGCTTTGTAGTACAGCTTGAGATCAGGGATGGAGATACCTCCAGATGATCTGTTGTTGTACAGGATCATTTTGGAAATTCTGGGTTTTTTGTTTCTCCATATGAAGCTGAGAATCTTTCTTTTAAGGTCTGTAAAGAATTGTGTTGGTATTTTGATGGAATTGCATTGAATCTGTAGATTGCTTTTGGCAGAATGGCCATTTTCACAATGTTAATCCTACCAATCCATGAGCATGGAAGATCTTTCCATCTTCTGAGATCTTCTTCAATTTCTTTCTTTAGAGACTTGAAGTTTTTTTGAACAGGTCTTTCACCTGCTTATTACCACCATTTTTAAAAGGCCTCACCTTATCTTAGATGGGTTAAAGAGGGGTGGAAAGGACAACTGATATCTTGTTTAAAAGATATTCAGGTGTTCTTGAACTATCCTTGCAACTGCTTACCAAATTTGAAATTATAGTTTTCAGGCAAAAAAAAAAAAAAAATATATATATATATATATATATGTATATAACAATGAGGAAAACTTCTACATGAAACAAAAAACAAACCAACACAAAATAGTAATCAGCGAACAAATGAGAAACCGGAGCCTACAGCTATTTCTAGGCCTTAATTGTGCTTTCAATTAAGATGATTTATTCTATTAATAATGAAATGTTCAGGCTGTTTATTAAGGTTCTTTATTAAGTTCTATGGGAATTTAAGTAGCTAGAGCTTATTCCTCAGTCCTATGGGGTGTCCATGCATCAGAGAAGGTCTGTACTGTCTCCACAAGGAAGGAAGATGGACTCTGCTCTGTGAAGTCAGATTACAGAAGACACTCCCAACCTCTGCCAGCTTGTATCTCTGCACAAGGTCCTGTGATCAAAACATTTGTTTGTAAGGAGTCACAAATTATTACAGGAAAGAAATGAGGATCAGCACAATTCTCTTTTACCTTTAAGTATTCTTAGAGAGTGAATCATGGAATTTAACAAGTCTCTTCTCACAAATGCAGGGGTAGGATTTTGTACATTCCTCAACCTCTAGTCTTGTTTTAGATAAAAATACACATCCTCCGATCTTACTGTGGTAACTATGTTTGTTCAAGGCACTGAAGAGAAAAAACAACAATGAGCAACTGTTTAATGTAGAACATTCACTGAAATGTCATGATTTTAAGGATCCTATTGGCCAACGTATACAGAATATAGAACGATTAATCATAAGTTCATCAAAAAAATGTTTTCTTTTCTCTGAGCCCATTAAACAGAAATGGTCTCTTGATCACAACAAAAGCTCCATCTTACTTCACACTCACATTTTTGGTCAACAGGTAAAGCAGATTTTCAATGTTTCCAAGAAATTATTTCATGCTACATCTGCTTTCCCATTTATACTTTATCAATAATAATGCTAGAGTAAAAGGAAAAAAAATGTGTGTGGCACACAGAACAAGGCCTTATAGTCTTGTGTTTTAGGGAGAAAGGGAATATTAGAAATACAGTCAGAGATGAAGGCTGTAACTCATGTTTTGGACTGTTTTCCCTTTCTTCCTTCTCCACATCATAGCTAGTGGGTCTTCAGTGAAACACGGTAATCTCCTGAATTCCCTGTATGCGGTACAGCTCTGATTTCTGCAGGATGCTGTATTAGGCCACAGTTTCTTCTGTTAAAATATTAAATGTTGTAAATAAAAATTAAATTAAAACACAGAGCATTTAAGCTGAAATAGAAGGACTGTGTGTTCTGGGCCAGCCTGGGCTACATAGCAAAACCAGAAGTCATATAGTAATTAATTAATACTTAATATTTTTCTGTATACACAAACAAAAATCAGATTTCTACTGAGACTGAAGTGTTAGCAGGAACAGGAATGAACCTCTGACGATCAGGGAAGCACTAGAATCATTGTCCCCGAATAGTTAGAGGAAGCTGACTAAATAATGCACACAAAATGGAGATCCTCAACAATGAATCCAGCCAGCCATAGTGGGCACAATCACAGGCCCAGTATTTAGGACATGAAAGTAGAAGGATCACAGTTCAAGGCTAACCTTCAAAATGTATAGGGAGTTTGAGGCTAGTCTGGGTTAATGAAACTCTGTCTGAAAAGTAAAGAAAGAAAATGAAATCCATCAAACCCACATGAGACTGAGATCTGAAAGGGATCAGTCTTTAGCAAAATAAAACACTTTCTTTGAATCTTGGATTTAAGATGGGGAGAAATAGAATATTTAAATATACAGAATGTAAAAGAAACAAGGAAGAAAAATGAAACAAAGTGTCTTGTAGACAGAACATAGACAGAAAAGGTAGGGTACATTAGCAATAAATATTTACATTAGTCAGCCATGAGACATGTTCATGGGGATAGTCAGAAAATTATGGGTGTATGCTGAACGTGGGCAAAGGAAGAAAGATGTCAGCAGACACTGGCTGTTCACAAAAGATAATTACTAAAAGAAATGAAATGTGTGTTCACACAGTGACATTGACACGAATTGACATGACAACTTTCATAACTGTCAAAACAAGAAACACACCACATGCTCGCATGTGAGTGGAGAATTATTGTGGAATATTTGTGTAATTCAAAAGTGCTTTATAGCAAGAAGAATGAACTGTTGGTCTGTGAAAAAGAGCTTTAGTTAGCTAAAAACCAATAATGATGATATTTCTAACAGTGAAAGATGCAGAGAAATACAAAGTTAATCACAAATCTATGCATAATATACAATACTTTGGACTAGGCCATACTCATTGATAATAAAAAAGAGCATATGTCTGCTTTCCCAGGGCCAAGTGAGGGGCACGGAGCAGAAAAACTTTGGAAGGTAACAAAATGACCCTGTTTGGATTTGGGGGTTTCTGTTGCTATGACGAAACACCCTGAGCAAAGCAACTGGGGAGGAAAGGATAACCTTTGGTTGCCAGAGTCATAGTGATCTTGCGGCTCTGATTATGCATGACTGGCTGCTTTACATGATGCCAGAGCTCATGGATGGGGAAGGTGTTTAGGTGGACTGACTCAAAGCGCAGGCTCTGGGCCCAGATTGTAGTTGAGTTTGTCACCTGACAGCTGAACCCCACGGTTTCCTAGTTCTTAATTGTACTGTGAGAGCAATGAGCTAGTAAAATGTTTTATCTTCGTGATGATGAAGCATGTGCCGTTTAATCACAGTGAGCTATTGTCATCTGGGAAACAGAGAGTGTTTGCTCAGTGCTTGGAGCAAAGGCATCCATTCTACAGACACAAGCTGCTCTGTGTACCAGGAAGAAAGATGGCTTCTGCTGAGTTAAGTCATCTTTCAGAGGAGCATTTCTCCCCTTGCAGCTTATCACTCTGTTTGCACCCTATTTGCACAATGGACTGAGTCCTGCAGCTAAAATATTTGGTCACTAAGTTTTCACAAATCATCACAGGACACTAACAAAGATGACAAAACATTGACTTTTTTTTGTTTGTTTTGATTTTTCTTAATATTGTATTTAATTTCAGGAACGCTTAAATGTATTTGAACATATCTTATAAAGTGAATTATAAACGTGTCAATAATCAAGTTTCCTTTTTGATGTATCTATTACAAAGGCACTCACATAGCATTTTATGTCTAATAACTTGGGAATCTACTAAAGTCTCTCAATCTCCAATTGACATATCTTTCAAAGGAAAATCTCATTCTTTGGATATAACGGTGAATTTGCACCTTAGTGAGCACACGTGGCCTTGAGGTAGAAATGGCCCGTTGTTTGGATAACCTTGCTTCCTCCTCCACTGCGCTCTGAAGATTGGCCGGAAGCGCAAGGAGTGCTCTGCATCTGTCCATTCCCTCGTGCTTCTCGTTTCTTTAACTTGGCTTCTCAAATTTTATTTGTGTCCCTGGGTTGCCAGCACCATTGATTCCAATTTTGGGTTGCTAAAAGAGAGCTTTTCAAAAAAAAAAAAAATTAAGCCTCGCTATAAAGTTAGGACATAGCCTTGGGTTACCGACCAACCCTTGCTTATTGAAGTTAACAGAATAGGTAGGATATGTAAGGGATATAGAAAAGCCAACAATTGCTTCTGACTTATTCCTTGTGTTGCAGTGTTCTCCTTTCCACATTTGATTATTCCTGTATTTGTTTTATAATGTCCAGGATATTTTGTTTATTTAACAGGAGAAATGGGAAATCAATCATACATTTGCCTCTTCTTCCTGGATTCAGAAACCTCACTTTTGATTTTTCAAATTTGCTAAAACCAAATTTACTTAGACAAGATTTAGATATGAACTACTGAAACAGTAGAAGCTAGGAGATCAGTTGAAATACTTTAATTCATCAATTAAGAGATGACGTTGAACTGATTGGCCTGTTCTTTGATCACCTCCCCCTGAGAGGGGAACAGCCTTACCAGGTCACAGAGGAAGACAATGCAGCCATTCCTGATGAGATCTAATAGACTAGGATCAGAGGGAAGGGGAGGAGGACCTCCCCTATCAGTGGACTTGGGGAGGGGTATGGGTGGAGAAGTATAATTAATAAAAATGTGTAATTAATAAAGTGTAATTAATAAAAATTAAAAAAAGAGAGAGATGGCATTGAGCTGAGAGATGGCTCAGAAGTTAAGAGTGCTTACTGGTTTTGAAGAGGACCTGGGTCTGATTCCCAGAACCCACATGATGGCTCACACCTGTCTCTAACATATCCACAGGAGATGATGTCCCCTTCTGGTGAGGACAGGAGGCACGCACATGGTTCAAATGCATACATGCAAACAAAACCTTCACACGCATAATTTTTTTTTAAAGGATGGTGTCAGCAGGGATGGTAGACATGCCTAAAGTTCTCGCTGCTCAACAGGCTGAGGCAGGAAGAACCCCTGAACAGAAGAGTTTTGTGGTAGTTTGGGCAACATAGTGAGACACCATTTTAAAGATGAAAGGGAAATAAAAACAAAAAGGTTTGACCTGTTGGAAAGCTAATGACCAAAGTGGGGAAAAGTGCATAATTTTGCTTATACAAAACATTGGGATAGGAGGGGCGGAGCCAAGATGGCGACTAGCACACACAGTTTCTGAGCTGTGGAATTGCTAACCATCTGAAAGGTGCGTGGAAGGAAAACAATGGTGAGGCTTCCTAAACAACAGGGAACATCACAGGAGGCAAAAACTTTGGTCTTGGGGTCACCCTGAGACTTCTTTGGGGAAGGTGAGAAATGATCCTTTGATCTCACAGCACTCCCCTCCCCAGACTTCCTTCCTCCTCGGCACAGCAGAATCATCTTTCTCTGCGCAGCTGGGGTCTGCAGAGGCTGAGGCGGAGCTCGAAGCCCTTTAGCGGCAAGTGCCAGCAGTACCCGTCTCGGAGTCCCAGATCCGAGCAGCGGCTGCACCATCCTCCCAGGGCCCCAGTCTGCTAGACACCATACTAGCTCCACAGGATCGAGATCACTGACGTTACGGCCGGCCCAATCCCACAGTGACAGAAAATACACTATATACTCACCAAAACCAGGCAGAAATGCCACACTAGCTAGGCACACCAGGTGCTGGGAGAGCACAGTGAAGAGACCCCAGGACTTCCCATAAAACATCTGGACTAGCAACCCAGTCTCCAGTTACAACGGGACTTTCTAACCTGGCGGCAGAGCAGCACTGAGCTGGCAGGGCACATCAGCCCTCCAGTTTAAGACTAACCAGGGCCAAACCAGAGAACAGAAAGCCTGTTACACCGATCCCTACTGACGTGACCACCTTGAAATCTCCAGCTGCAGCAAGACCTCATAACCTGGCAGTGACAGCAGCACGGAGCTGGCTGAGCACATCAAAGAAGCAGGGCCAAACTAGAGAGCAGAGAGCCCAGATACACTGATCTCTGCCAAGTGACCTGCCTGTAAGTGAGTGCACCCTTGAGAATCTGCAGATCCCCAGATCCTGGGTCCTTCTAAAACAGAAGCCAGGCATCGAACCCCCTCCCACCCATATACCCACTTCGGGAAACAGAGGGGCACTTGGGACATTGAAGTTCCTGCTCTGTGGGTCTAATTGAGGAGTTAAGGCAGTTAATGCCAGAAATTGCGCTGCGATCATCACTAGTGCCTGCAACATATACAGTGCAGAGCCTCTCCCA